AATTCGACGCTCTGTGCGACTCTCCTAAGTGGACCCCAACGATAAGCGGTACAATTGATCTTTTCTGGGGAGATGTTAGGTAAAGAGACTATGATTTTCAACCTTAAACTCTCTGTTTCGAATAGTTCTTTAATTAAAGTGTTTTGGCTCCTTTTCGGCTTTCATCGTTCATCCCTTAACGAATAGGGGAAGGGGGGGGCGCTGATGGATCAGTTCTGTAAATATCCTCATTTTTCGCATCAATTTTCAAGCTCACTATGTCCGGGGAACGGAACAGTACATAAGCAGATGATCTGACTTGGTAAATTTGACTTGCTTTGGGCATGTCAATTACACGTTCGTTGCGCACCACCTGTATTCTAGCTTACGTAACTGAAAGAGGGCTACCATATTGCCTGTGGCGTGCAATCTGTGCTGTACTGTATTCAACCTTTAGCGGATTATATAAAAGCTTTCAGTCAAAAATAGATCACCACAACACTTCTGGTAAAAAGGGTTGAAAAAGTGGGATTTGAAAACGTACAAAGGTATGAGTTAATTACCAAATGCATTAGAAAGCTTAGAGCGAACACTTTCCTTGTCGGTCAGTATCCGGGCAAGATAGGGTACCAAAGAGTTTCTGTATGCGGATATGCGATACGGGATAAGTTTGAACTTGATCAGGGTGTAGGGGTGGGATTTGCATGCACACAAGTCAATGTGTAGAGAATGGGTACAATCAGATAGGATATTGTCAACAAACTTCAAGCACGCATCAATATGTGGAGAAGGGGTACTCGCAGACCCAGAAAGAAGCCCTGGCGGTGTTTTGGGCTGTCCGGAGATTGCACAAGTATTTGTTTGGACTTCACTTTACTATTTTGACGGATCATCAGGCGCTACAATTCTTACTCAACCCCAACAAGTCTATCGCTAAAGCCACAGCCGCCATGATTCAACGATGGAGTGTTGCACTGGCAGCGTACGATTATGATATTGTACATCGGCCAGGCAAGACGATTCCGCAGGCAGACTTCCTATCCAAATACTCACGCTTTGGCACCGCAGAGAAATGTCATTTTGTCGCCCAACCATCACCAGTCTCCAGGGAAGCGTTGAGAAGATATATAAAACAATACTACTCAGTGATTATTTCGGCCCTATCGAAAAGATGGCCGCCTGATATAAAGATGAGACATCCTCAGCTCTACATCCATCGAGAGGAGTTGGCTGTACAGCCAGACAGTGTGCTCTACCGCGGTGATCGACTGATCATACCTCCGCCGCTCCGAAAAGCAGTCTTAGAGG